AACTCCCCTGCTAAAGCAGGATTGCCCAGAGCACATTACTCAGGACTGCATCCAGGCGGGTTTTGAAAATCTCCAGAGAAGGGGACTCCACAACCTCTCTGGGCAGCCTGTGCCAGTGCTCTGTCACCCAAACCGTAAAGAAGTTTTTCCGTTTATTTGAATGGAACTTCCTATGTTCCAACTTGTGCTCATTGCCCCTCGTCCTGTCCCTGGGAACCACTGAAAAGAGTCTGGTTCCATCCTCCTTCAACCCACCCTTTACATACTTGCATGCCATAATAAGGTCTCCCCTCAGCCTTCTCTTCTTAAGGCTAGAGTCCCAGCTCTCTCAGCCTTTCCTCATAAGGGAGATGCTCCAGTCCCTCAATCATCTTACTTGCCCTTCGCTGGACTCACTCTAGCAATTCCCTGTCCCTCTTGAACTGTGGAGCCCAAAACCGGGCATAGTATTCCAGTTGTGTCCTCACCAGTGCCGAGTAGAGGGGGCGAATGACCTCCCTCGACCTACTGGTCACACTCTTCCCTATGCAGCCCAGGATTCCATTGGCCTTTTTGGTGACAAGGGCACACTGCTGGCTCGCGGGTAATTTACTGTCTCCCAGGACCCCCAGATCCTTCTCCTCAGAACTACTTCCCAGCAGGTCCACCCCTAACCTATACTGGTGCTTAGGAGTTTGTAAGAAGGAGTCTGTAGCTATCATTACAAATGGAAGAGCAGAAACAACACTGTGCCTAGAGGGCGAGGTAATGCATTTTTAACATCATGGGACAAGCACCGAACGCACTTTGCTGAGCACCCATTCCACCCTAGTCTATACCTCTACTATAGTATAGCTTTGCTTGAGTTGTACCCATATGGTTTGTAAATGCACCTTTGCTTTTGAGTAATAAATGACACATGGCTTCTTTGGCAGCTCAAGGCTTGACTTTTCATCTTGACACCCTTGGGCATCTGGCAGATGACAGATGATAGATTTAGACAAACAGTAAAAGCTACGGAGTGCCTTGCATATGTGTTTATCTTAACTTTGTAACACGGTCCAAATGTTATTTAACTTTATGAATTTAAAGGAGACCAGTTGGGAATGGCATTCCCATACAGTAGGACAGCTGATGCTGTTGCTCTAATTACTTGTTTGGTATAGTTACTAGCAAGTTTATAATTTCCTGAGCATGACTGGGTCTACTGAATTAAAGCACGGTGTTTGGAAACGGGGAGAAAGAGGAAACCAAATGGTAGTTTAACAATAGGCAGTAAATGTAAACCAGAACTTATTTACTTGACACATTATTTTAGTCAGGTTGAATTTAGTTTGGGGGTTTGCTTGTTTTATTTTTTAAGGCTGCCATTTGCTTTGCCAGATAGCTTCTGGGAACAAGATCTTTAGCAGGTTTTCTAGACTGAAGGTAGTGCTGTTGTTTTCTGTGAAATGCGGAGTTGTTACATGTGCAGTATCACAATGTGATAGAGGAACGGGAATTCTTTCTTTGTATGTATTAGAAAATACTCTTTTCCATTAGTCAGTGCACCTGGTACTTATTTTTTTATTGCAATAACAGAGATGTTGATACTTTATACATTTGCAGGAGATATTAGTTTGGAAGAAATATTTCTTATTATTTGTTTACAAAAAAAAAGCAAGGAAAGGTAAATTTGGTTGCAAATGGCTGTTATTTTTAAAGCCCTGTCATTAATATTGAAATCTAAATTGGTGTTTATTATCTTTTAATACTGCATTGCAGAATTTCTAACATCCATTGGTGTGTTTTAATCGGGAGTACATTTTGTGCCCCAAAATGTATTCACATATCTGTTTTTGCAGCTCGTTTTTCAATATTAGTACAGCAGCATAAGTATTCATCTAAAGAAATATAGACACATTCTCTGTGTAGAGAAGCTAATAATTCAAGAGTTACTCCTGCAAAATTCACACAAAGTACAGTCCTACCCTGCTGTGGAAAGTTTTTCATTGTGTGAGTGGGACAAATTGTGTTATACTGCTGTTTGCAGACAAAACCAGCTGATGATGACAGCAGAAAAATGACAGACTGTTATTGATAGCATATTTTCCTGTCTGCATATGGTTCTTAGATTTTTTTTACAAAACTTTATTTTAAAAAATGGACAATAAACTTTTAGACAAAAAATTAAAATAGTTAGATTCCAGTTTTCTCCTCCTTGGATCTGTGGTTTTATTACCCATAATTCTCATTTCTTCTCTCTTGGTTGTATTGGTTGGTTACTCCGAATTTCCCATGAGATATCAATTTGACTAAATGTAGTTACATAATACTGTGCTTTTGAGAAATGCAAGTGAAGAAAAATTTAAAATTCTCAAGATAGCAGATGCTTGTGAAAATTCATTAAAACAAGGTTTTGATGGAATATTTTGACATATTCTGGAAGTAGAAGTGTGTCTGTATGATAGGCTTTTTTTCTCTGTATTCTACCCGCCCATGTATATATTAACATTGTTGTGGAGTGTGTGTGTGTATGTAGGAGAGAGAAGTTATTTTTTAAGGGAAGTGTAGGACCAGACAGGAATCTATACATGACTCTGAAACAGATGTCAGAATTGATGGACAAGCCAAAAATGACCATTGAGGAGACAGAAGATGAAGGCAAATAATAGAATACTGCTGGGAAGCACGACCTAATTGCAAGAGATAAGGGGATGAAACCAAAACAAAACCGGTAAAGATCAAGCAGGAGCACATCAAAAAGTAGAGAACCAGCATATCTTTAGCGTAATCTTCCATCCCATTCCCCACAAACATACAGAGGGCCCTAATTTCTGTCTCCCTGATCTGCTGGCATAATAAATTGGTTAATATGCCTGAACTAATCTTTCCATTTACCCTTCCTTTTGTCTGTCTCATCAGATGTTTCCAGAATGGGGGGTAAGAAGTAAAGGGAGATGACCAGATCATAGAATGAAAGAGAAGTGGTTCATAAACCTGTTCCAGCCCCATGAAGTTGCAAAACACATCCCACTGGCTTTGAGAGGCCCTGAATCAGACCCTCCTGGCTGCAAAAAGCAGGCAGAACAAGAACCCCAAATGGAAAGGGGGTTTTGATTTGGGGAGAGTTCATAATGGGAAGAAGAAGAGCTGTTAACGCCTCATAAAGGTTATTTTTAAAACAAAAAAATAGTCACTATTTTGCATCTTTTTGTTAGCATTGTAGCTTAAGATCGATGAAAGGAAGGGAAAAAAGTTGAAATAGTTACACTTCCCGGCTGGTCAGACTGATCTTGTCTGGAGAATGTGGATTTCATAATACATATAACTTGGCACCCTTAGATTTTTTCTCTGCTTGAAATGTTTTTTTAATGAGTAGTTGCGTTTTAGAGACATAATCTTGTGTAAACACTAGCCAGGAGAATTTGATATTTAACTTACTTTGCTGGAGACAGGAGTCTCTCCAGGTAGTACACTTTTATTAAATTCACAAAATGAAATTCATAAGTGTTTGAGAACTCAAGCCTGGATTGTGAACTGTGAGGGGTTTTTGTCTTACAGTTACGCTCAGCACAAAAAGCCTTAGCGAAACCCCTCTGAGTATCAGGATTAAATGAATCTTTGAATTGCTAATTGTTTGAGGTTGACCTGGCAGATGTCCAACAGCTGTCTTTATGGTTTTTTGTGGTACACAGTTGCACTCTGTTTAGAAAAAAAAACCTGAAGAAACAAACAAACTCCCCCATGGCCAAGCAATTAATTCATGCACAGAAAGTGGTGGTTTATGCCTTATAACATTAATTTATCATACACAGGGGTGGGCCTACCCAAAAAAACAGATAGATACTACATGATGAGTTGCAAGTACATGAGGTATAAATGAGACTGTTAGCATAATTGTCACTGAGAGGGATGTCCTATGCTTTGAGAGAATGCCATGTAAGAAGAGGTGACACAATTTAGCTTGATCAAAGATAAGCTCAGTCCTTTGGTAAACCTATCTATCTGAACAATAAAGTGCTTCCAGATAGTGAGTGCTGATAATTAATGCAGATCATACAGCTGCATGAATCTGAATTTCATTCACCAGCATGAAATATGTAAATATAAATAAGGAAAAGCCCAATTGCCCATATATCAGTAATTCTCAATTCCCATATGTCAGCAATACAGTTTACTGACCATCTGCAATTTTCGTATCAATGCTTATTTAAGAGTACTAGCACTGCCAAAAATGTTCTGATTCATTTGGATATTGTATAACTTTGGTATATTAAGAAAAAGGCGAGGTGAATGGACCTATTTTAAGTCCTCATTTGGAATTATGCCAAAGTAATTTGCCCAACTAGTCATATATTTAAAGTATCATGCTGAAGTAATGCTTTAGTGCTTCATTAGAATGGATTTATAGGAATATGTTTGTCCATTTTTGTTTATATGTTTTGTTGTGTATTTAGCATTCATAATGGACAGGATGGGCTAGACTAGATGACCTGAGGTCCCTTCCCACCTCAGGTATTCTGTGATTCTGTGATTTATAGTGTCTACGAAACAAAGATGCTCTGGTTCACAGTGTATAATGCTGCCCAAACCATACCTAGTGCCACTAGGCAACCCAAGAAGAAAGAGCTGAGTGCCCTAATAAATGAGAGGTATCGTGTATTACAAAGGGTTTTAGTTTCAAGTATGGTATTTGTTTTCCTTTTCCAACCCAGTATGATGTTTTAACGCTTCCTCTCAGTCTTCAACACTTCTTTCTTGGTACGGCTTGGATAGCATAGATGCAGAGCAACAAACAGACACTGTATAAAAGTTGTTTGTAGAGCTGTGTTCATACCACTCATTTTCTGAATTTTTCTGATATCTGATTCTGAACTCTGGTAAATCCTGTTTTCATTTCAGATTCTTCTGAGTGAGCTAGTTTCTTTTGTTGTCTTTCTCTCATCAGATGTCTTTTTGAGGGAAAAGACTTGTTTGTTAAGCAGGTGAGGGGGAAAAGAAGAATTATTAATCTAATCTTTTGTGCTGTTTCCAAACAGGGACGAAGAGGTTTAGGTTCAGTCTTTGTTTGGGCATCTGGAAATGGTGGAAGAAGTCGAGACCACTGCTCCTGTGACGGCTACACCAATAGCATCTACACTATCTCCATAAGCAGCACAGCTGAAAGTGGGAAGAAACCATGGTATCTGGAAGAATGTGCATCCACACTAGCAACAACGTACAGCAGCGGGGAATCCTATGACAGGAAAATAGTACGGTTTTTAATTTTTTTTTTTTTATGTATATGGGTTTGTGTTTTACCTCATGACTTTGGGGGAAAGGAGAGAAAGAGAGCTTATTTATACTAATTAATGGACTACTTTAGAAAAAAATATGTGAGCAAGTTCATTTAGCCCCAGCGTGTTACTCAGTTGGAGTCACCATACTGCTCTTTGAAACCAGTATGGGTATCCCTGCATGTGGCAGACTAATGCAGTGCAGGTATACACGATTCATAGCAGGTTTTTCCACTCACCTAGTTCCTGCCATCTCTGAGTGATGCTTTCAAAGATCCTATTGCCACTGCCGCTGAAACAGATTTCTTTCATTACCAGTATCTCGTAGCCCATCAGTAGTCCTGAGAACATATCCTTCTTTTGTTTTTAAACCAGTTATCAATAATTTTCATATTTCACACACATGATGTTAGCAGTTACATACCTCTCTATTTTCTGAGATTTATTTTGATCCAGCATCATTCCTCTTTTATGTTCACTGATGTTCAGTTATTACTCATATCGCTGCCTATTCCAGCGAGCTGATATATCGGAAGCAAGATTATGCTCAGTGCTCATCTTTTCTGTGTTGTTCCTCATCTCATTTCTAAACAGCCAGCATCAATTTTCCCTTATTTTGTCATCTTGACTGGAAACCAACAAATTGTTTTAATTCTGTTTGATAATCTATTGATACCCTTAGTATTTGTATGCTGTATCTGCTTTTTCAAACTGAGTGCATTCAATATACTTTCCAATATTCAATATACTACTTCTTTTAACCTTTTAAAACCTTGTACTAGGATTAATCAGGTTTGCTAAGAGCATCCTCTTCCGTGCTTTTTTATTCTAAAGTATAATCTACACATCTTAATTTCTTCCTAATCAGAAAATTTAGAGATTTGGGTGGGTTTTTTTTCCCCAGATATTTTCTTAAGCACCCATCTGACATTACCTTCTTTCTGGTCCTTAGCAGATGCCTCTCTTGGTGTCAGTGAGGAGTTAAAAATTCTTGAGCTATGTTTTTTCAATACTGTCTGCTTTGTCTTTCAGGATTCTGGGATGCTGGCCATCCCTTCTTGGATTCTTCCTTATTTACAGATGATCTAATTTTTGTTTTAAACTTGTTCTGAGGTACTTCTTCGTTCCAGTAATTTTTCTGTTCTTAACTTGCTTCTCTCCACTGAAACCTTATCTCTCTTCCTGGCATGTTTCTTGTTCTCCCTGATAAATAATAATAAAGAAAAGAAATTACTCCGTCTCCTAGGAGTCCTCACTTCTGTGATTAAATTCCCTTTACTGTCCTTTAAAAGTCTTTCACTAACTTCTTCATGGTTAAGTGAGACTAATACAATCTAAGGTGAGCAGAGGCAATTGCGGTTCCCCAGACTGACCTCTTCCTTAGCCAAGTCTGTAGGACTTCCCTGAGTCCTTCAAACCCAGCAGTTGTCAACTTGACAACAATTTTTATGAATACAATCAATGTTGCTTTCAAACTTTCCAGTGACAGAAAATCCATGTAAATTTAGGGCAAGTGGTTTCAATTACCCATTGCCATTAAAAAATTTCTCTTGATTGCTCTCTGAGCTCCTCTAGCTTCAATTTCTAGGCATTTGGGTGTGTCACGGATTTTATTGCTAGTACGAAGATTTTTTTTTACGGATTTTAGTGCTAGTACGAAGAGCGGTCTAGTTGGCTGATGTCTTTCTCTCCACCCATGTAACCTGATCAGTTAATCCCTTTTGAAAAATGGAGGTAAGCTTCTTGCATCATTCAGTGTAAGACATGTTGTCTTAAAAACTCTCTCCCATTTTATGTGCTTTGAGCACCCAAACTGGACACACCAGTCAGGGAGTAAGTAGCAGTATCAGTGGCAAATGCACAAGAAAAAGCGTATCTGTGAGTGCCAGCTCAGGTCCCTGCTCTGTATACATTAAGCCTAACTGAGACTTGTTAGCTTCACTGTCATGTAACGTGTTCATCGTTGTATGACGCACAGCCCGCTTTCAGAGCTGCTGCTTCTCTTTTTCAGAGTTGGTGTTCCAAGGACAGATGTGAGGGGACTTACGGTCTCTTTATTGCACCTCATACCACTGACTGTACTGGTGTAGTAATCAGTCCAGACCAGCCCTCATCATCACTTTCTCTTTCTCCAAAATTTCTCCAAGTGCAACATTCATCAGAAGGTGCTGGTGTTTTCTTCCAGGTATCTTTCCTTTGATAAAAGGTTTAGGTCATACTAAGGCCAAGAACCAAGTTGTACAAGGTCTGATTGGAAACAAGCCTCATTTCTTGTAAGTGCTATAAGCGTATACATATATATGTATATAAAATTTGTCTGCTGCTAAGTATATATCTCATTTCTTATATATGCTTACATTTTGTGACCTTGTAATTATCCCATTTGAAATCTATTATGTATCATATATATTTTTAATCTCTTAAATAATTTTTCAAAATTGTTAGTATGCAGTATCACATTATATGTTTTGTAGAATCCTGACTATGCTACTTTCAAGCAAAGTGGTGGCCAGAAAAAAAATACTGCAGCACTTTGGCAAGCTCTCATTTCCAGCAGCTTATGTTATCCACCATTAAATATACTACTAGTTAAATTGGTTTAAATCCTGTGTCAGTTGTTTTACACTAGATAAAAACTTGGCAAATAAGTGAAATTATTAGGGCAATACTGCTCACCCTTTCAAAGCATTGACATTGCGTGGGTTTTCTGTTGGTCTTCTGGAACTTCTCCAGTGTTCAAAGACTTGCTAAAATCAACAGTACAGTCTAACACGTTCCCTTTCCAGCTCTTGTAAAAGTCTTTGGTGCTTCCAAACTTTCTGATTTAAACTTGCTATTTAAAATAGCTATAAATAGGAAGATGATTTATCATCTTTGGATGCTCTAAAAACTTCCTTTAGATTTTTTTTCCAAAAAGGAACATACAGTGAAATAGCTATTTACTATACACTGGTATTAACTATTCCATTATTTCTGAACAATTAAAACAATATTGGTTTGAGGGTTCTTTTGCTTCTGATTTATTTGAAAATAAAAGATCCTTACACTTTATTCTGTTCTTGTAGGCTTCACCATTTGACATTTGTCTTTCCTTACCACCTCTATGCACCTTCTATCTTCTAACTCTTAGTCATTGCTATCCACTTTGTCTTTTATTCACTTAAATTTATTTATTTATTACTTCCTGTACCTGTCAATACTTGTTTTGTTGACCAGTATATCCTTGCTCATTTTTTAAAAATTTAGTGAAACACCTGTGTGTTTCTCAGTCCTTATTTATAGTTTTGTATTTAGCTGATTTGATCTTTGTGCATTCCTCTGATTTTTAATAGCTGTAGTTTTCCTAATGATTGTCTTCCATTCTTTTCAATTAACATGGACTTCCTACTTTTACAGAATTACTATTTCAATAAGAGACCATTGCTTATTTCTGTCACTCCCTTATGACTTATGCTAGCATCAAAAACACCTGGAGTTGACCTCACCTTTGTTGTTAAAGATTTTCATATGAACCATGAGAAGAGATCATTTTTTAGTTTAGTGAAATATAGTACCCATCACTTCTAGAATTTATGCACTGTGCATAAAACTTGCAGTTTTATGTTTTATGGTAAGATTTTCGAAAGGCACACTTTACAAAGGAGAGATTAATTATTATATATAGAATGAAAATACATTATCCCATAATTAGAGAAGTAATGAAGAGGTTTTACATAAACATTATTGAAAAGTTTTAAAGAGATGCCTCTTTAAAAATGTCCTTAATGTGGAGTCTGCATTGCAGATCTCCACAGTCTATCAGAGATACGTAAAAACAGCCTTTAATTGAAATCCATCAATTTTGTAAGCACTGATCGCTTTTACTAATCAGATCTTCCATTCTTTTGGGAGCCATCCGGTTGCGTATGCCAATTTTGGATTATTTCCTACAGAGTGCATCATTTTGCACAGTTAATGTTAAAAGCACACACATACTGAGTAGCCATAAGAATTAACCAAAGTCTGTTGATCCTTTGTTTACCAAAACATAATTTACCCTTGACTACTCTTGTGCAAAGCAAATTTGATGTTGCGTGTGCCATAAGACTCACTGATCTCAAATGCTT